CAATGTTGCTCTCCTGGATTGCTCAAATATCTGCCCAAAACTCCCACTATAAATGCGATATCGGGACGAGTACAAACTTGAGCATACATAAGACTTCCTAATGCCGACGCATAAGGAATCTTTTGCATCTCAATTTTCTCATGATCATTATTGGGACACTGCTTGAGACTGAATTTCTCTCCCTTAGACACAGGGATGTCAAGTGGTTTGCTACCTTTCATGCCGAATCTTCCCAAAACCATATCGATATAGCTCTTTTGTGATAATCCAAGAGTACCTTGAGAACGATCTCTTAGTATTTGTATCCCCAATACAAAAGAGGCGTCACCAAGATCTTTCATTTCGAATTTCTTCGTCAGAAATTTCTTAGTTTCGTGCAATAAGCCTATATCATTGCTCGCAAGAAGAATATCATCGACATATAAAACCAAAAAGACATATTTACTCCCACTGAACTTATAGTATACACAGTCATCAACGACATTTACCTCGAAGCCGAAAGAGGCGATGACTTGATGAAACTTATGATACCATTGACGAGATGCTTGCTTAAGACCGTAGATGGATTTCTTTAGTTTGCATACCATAGACTTTGGGTCTCCAGCCACAAAGTTGTCAGGCTGCTTCATGTAAATTGTTTCCTCAATATCGCCATTGAGAAAAGCAGTCTTTACATCCATCTGGTGTAGCTCTAAATCAAAATGAGCTACAAGTGCCATAATGGTCCTAAAAGAGTCTTTCGACGAAACCGGAGAGAAAGTCTCTTTGTAGTCAATGCCTTCTCTTTGAGTGAAACCTTTGGCGACTAGACGAGCCTTATATCTTTCGATATTGCCTTGAGAATCCCTTTTGGTTTTAAATATCCATTTACAACCAATAGGTTTCACACCTTTAGGCAATTCGACAAGATCCCAAACGTCATTTTCACTCATAGACTTCATCTCATCATTCATGGCGTCAATCCACTTCTGAGAGTTAGAACTGCGCATAGCTTGACCAATTATGACCGGGTCATCCTCAGTCAAACCAACGCCATCCTCATGTTCTTGGAGAAATACTATGTAGTCATCGGAAATAGCGTTTCTCCTCTCTCTAGTGGATCTCCTTAGTGGCACCTCTTGAGGTTGTTGAGTTTGATCCACAGCCAATGGAGGAATGATCTCAATGTTGTCTGATTTGGAACAATGTTTTCAACAGGATTCTCAACATTGTTCTCAATTACCGGAGTTGTATCTTGAACAACGATAGGTAAAGAAACCAAATCATTGTCAACTCTGGATTCTTCTTCAAAGACAACATTCCTTAAGACCTCTTCCCTCCCAAACTCAATATCCTCAAGAAATTTGGCATTTCCCGTCTCGA